TTTTTTTTTTGCATTGCTATTTATTTTTTCAATTTAACTTTTTATTGTTGCAGAAACTTTATTTTTTAAATCTCTGATTGCTAATCCATGGTTAAGCGAGAAAATATTATTCTACAATAGTTTTTTTCTGTCTTGAAAAGCACCATATAGAATAATTGTTTCAACCCGAGAGGACTTACACTAGAGATGATTGTCTATATGTTACCAATTTATCAAGTGAAAGTCACAGCATTATTAAAAAGAAGCTCTCTTCTCTTTAATCTGCTTCCGTTGAATGGTGAATTTCTCTCCGGTTTCTGTCGAAATAATAAGACTCCTAACCCTGTCACGACAAAACAAAACAAAGCGTTGTCTCTAAAATTCGCTCATCTGCTCATCAACATCACTTAACCCTTCCCCAGACCCAAGAGTATATTTGTGAAGATTCTATACGTAAATGCTTGATGTACTGTATTTATGAATCGTTTGAAAATTTGGTTAAAATATGCGCGGCGCATAATTTACTCGTCGTGCATAAATAGATGTCAAAAGCTTCTAGTTAGATAACTATTATCAAATCCGCCTTATTGCTACTGCAGATATGAAAAGAAATTTCATTGTGGAATGATATTATCTTGAGTTAATTCAACGTACCACGGGAGAAGATAGTAGCCCTGGTTAAGTTCTGAATGAATTATTTTTCGCTCTCTAGGATCATGCAATTGTTAACCAGGGCTAAATATTTTGGCACCATCCTTGGCCGCCCCAAATCCTCAACAATCAAGAGACAAAGGATAAGGAAATATTCCTCCTTGTACATACCGTATTAGTTGGGTTTATTCCTGAATCTTCCGAAACTGAGGTTAGAAACCAAGATTCCATAAAACCACGTTCTTTTCTCTAAATATTGAACTAATCGTGCTTGAGCCAGCTCATGCGAACTGTTAATTTAGATCTTCGTTATGAACGCCGATACTTGGCAACGATCTGAATATTTTTCTTGGTGCGGAATAATTTAGCTGATCTCCGGAATCAGCAAGCTTATTACACCCAACAAGTATGACCAATTGCTTAAACTTTGAATATGCTTTAATAAATTCAGGGTAAGTGACATGGATCCTTTGAAAGTGACACAATTATGAAAACGGGAATATTTGAAGGTACTAGGCAATAACGTGCTACAAAGAACTCTCTTTTTTCAGATTTCGGAGTGAGCTTGCCACCAGATCCACTCTCCCCACAGTTGGATATCTACGGACGAACTACCCCAGTTTTCTCAGAAGAGAGGGAACAAGATGAGGCATTGAACATTGCCACGGAATTTTAGGTTTTTTTACCAAGTTCAATCACCGGAAAGAGAGATCTCCTTTCATCTGTAGGAACCATCCACGAACTGAACTGGTACAAGATTCATATAGACCGTTCCTAAGGTGTGTTAGATTGTTATTTTCTCTCTTATCCAAGTAACAGAGCCAAACGTGGCTTACATTGCGGTTTTTACGAATTTATTTTTTGAGCATCGCTTTGAACCAATTTTTGCAGCCTTTATTTTTTACAAACGAGACATTTATTGAAATATATACTGTACAAAAAGGGTTATATACAATACCTTCAAATCAACCTACCAAAAAAATCATACATAAACTTTAAAGGAAGGGAAGGTCTCGTAGTCGAGAAGACCAAGAACCGACTTCAGAGTCCGTAAGTAAACAGCCTTAAAATGCAAAACATGGAAATTGTTACTATGGAAATGTGCCAATACATTTTGTCCAATTAAAATTTCCTTAAGTTTCTAAGGCGGCAGTCAAGTATTTTGTGCATTGACGCAATAGGAAGCATATTTTTGAAGTCGTGAAGTAATCGGATTCCCAAGTCAAAAAACCTCGTAAAAATAAATTCCAATGTTGGTTGTTTGCTAAGGTAGACGAGTTGTTGAAATGGGTTAAGTATATCTTTGTATGTATTTCGGTAGAACTCCTCCTTACCTTTCTAAAGATTTATGTCTTACTGCATATCAATGTCTGTATGTTAAAGATTAAAAGAAAGAAATACTGATGGTGAGGAAGGTCGCAGTTTATTTACAATTGTTAACTTGCAAACATGAAATGCCTCTAGAAACATCAAAAGGTGGATATTATTTTCTTTAACGAAAATAGTCGGAGAATCTTATTGAAATTTTTGAATCTGTTCTTGTAGGTAAAAGTTAGTCGTTCTTCAACTTTTTGAATGCAAAAAATTTGCAACTATTTGAAGAAAATAGCAAACCCAATCAGGTCGTATCTAAAAAGGATTGTTCTTTTCAAGAACTACATTAACACATACAGAAGTATGGTCTTACAGTTTTACTTCCATTGTGAGGACTCGTTATGCAGTTTGGGCCAAGTATAAAGTGTTTTTCATTTCATTAGTAATTGCAGGAGTTGCCCATTCTATATTTTTTTACATGAGCCGCACAATAAATCACGAGAATGTCACACCTATATCACATGATACATGACGTCATCGAGTTAGAGAACGAATTTTTTATTTTTGATTTCTAGGAACGAAAAATGAAGTAAAAGAAAATGGAAGCCAGTTGAAATGTCTTGGAAAACAAAAAGGGCGGGCTCTGGAATCGAATTGATAATTTCGACTTGTAACAGGTCTCCTTCAACATGTAACTCACGAAGGGGTGAAATGCTCAGAGATGAAGATCGCCACCTAACGAGTCTTGAATTTTCACATCTTTTACCTACTACAAAACATCTCAAGAAGAAAGTCACATAATCCGAAACAAGAGATAATCCAAACCAGAAACCTGACAGTACCATATCAATCTAATTATCAGAATGTGCTGTGATGGCTTTGTAATCTGTAGTTGAAATTGTTGTTCTTATTAATTCCAATCATTTGCGGTACCGTATTTTGAGCCGCTTTCGGAGTTTGGCCCCCCAAAAAATAAACTCGGAAAATAATGAACACTTTCCGTAGAATGGGACTTCTTAAAAACGTGGCTAATCAAAGGGACGCTTCAATACTTGTGAGTTTGTCACAATTGCACTTTGGCTATCTATTACTTTCTGACCGTTGAGAATGAAAAGTCGGGAGATTCCGGAGCGCACTCGAAAACCTTGCAAGAATTTGATATGGAAGGCGTATTCAGATGTCAGCGCAGAAGGTCGGCGTAATTTTAAATAATTTAAATTTAATGTTAAACCACATAATACACAAGTTGAATCATCGCACAGTGATTTGTCAAAGATCCGTGTGGATCTCTCATTTGACCATCACATCCGCTTTTCTATTAAATTCATTTATTGATAGGAAATGCAAAATAACCACATCCAAAAATGGCTTGAGTGGAGGGATTATTTTCCACTAGTCGTTAAGTTGCTAAATGACACAAAATTTATTTAATTAATAAAGATACAAAAAATACACTATAAACTGGTAATTAAAAGAATTATAAAAAAAGAAGAATCCTCATAATCTATATGACCTACCTTCTTAAACCTTTTCAATGGTTTCAACTTCCTTGTTTTTCTTTTCGTCAATTTCCGGTGCAACCAAAGCACCTTCATCAGAATCATAGACGGTGTAAATATCCTCTCTTTCAACACCTAATTCTGCGTTTCTGTTTTCTGGACCAAGGAAGACAACAATCATCAAGTATAGAACAACTGCAGCAACGAAGATAGCCATAGTCTTACCATAGTCATAAATCCCTTCTGCGGCATTGATAGGGAAACGTTCACCAATAGTAGCTTCAATTGTTGAAGAAGCTGAAGAAACCAAGTTACCCAATTGATATGAGACACCAGTAACGA